GTGGTGTTGAGCTGGAACAGCAGGAGGTGGAAGTATCGTCCGTTCGTCCCCACGGCCTGCACCACCACCGGCTGCTTCAACACGCTCTGTGGCGCCGTCTGGTGGAGAAGGAAGTAAATCATCTTTATTTGCATTTGTATATTCTTACATTTAGTCACTGTAGGAGCTTTGACCCAGCCTGACTCTCTCCAGACCCTTGTAGTTCCGCCATGCTCCACCAGAGGCGTTTCACCTCACACAAAGGTCTGGGATCGAGAGCATTGCAAACTCTTTCAGCAGATCAGAAAATAATCCAACCCAAAAACAACCCAAGATGGCGGACATAAAGTCCGTGAATAAAAAATAAACAAAGTTCAAATACGAACGAATTAAGACACGGATGTCACTTTTAATGCAATATGAGGCGAGATGTTGATGGTTCCATGTTGTTATATGTGTGTTTAAAGAGTCAAATGTTTGTGTGAAGTTTGGTTTAAGATCATCACAACACTACGCAGCATGGTTGCCACGTACTTTGTTCCAAGAAACTTGTAGGTAATAAATAAACAGAAAGACAAAAACAGAATCATGATAGTCTAAGTTGATTATTTTACGTCAAAAAATCATTCTGGGTGTTTTTCTTTGGGCATTCTCGAGGGTTTTGGGCTGGAAAATATTGCCGGCATTTTGCAACCCATGGGAGTCGTGTGCTTCGATGTGAGTGGTTGAAGGAACATGTCATTCAAGATATCAGACAAGTGATTTATCCAATCACATGCAAGGACTCTTTTACAAGGCCCCGCCTTCTGAAATGTATCCACTCTGGATTAGACCCAGACCCATGTGAGAAGATCAGGGATCTACAAGCGTCTGGCGAGAGTCAGGACAGCTTTGACCCAGTTCATTACACGTCCCTCTGATGATGTCATCAATCACAACCAGGAAGTAAAGTTATGAGGAAACTGGAGTGAAGTTGTGAAAAATCTTTGACAAATTCTTGAATATAATCATGTAAATTGTGTGTGTTAAAAGTACAAATGTGTGATGAGTCGTTGGGCTCTGACGTGTGTGTCCTGACCCCGTAGAGCAGGTGGGCCCGGGCCAGAGCGTTCCCGAAGGCAAACATCAGCATCTTGGCTCTGAACTGCTCCGGGCGCAGGCTGCCTCTGGAGCTTTTCTGACCGTGGAAGAACAGGGTGTGGGCGTGAGGGTACGGGTAACCCTCCTGGAACCCTGCAACCACAGAGGAGGAGGAGGAGGAGGAGGAGGAGGAGGAGGAGGAGGAGGGCAGAGGAGGAGGAGGAGGAGGAGGAGGAGGGCAGAGGAGGAGGAGGAGGTCAGAGGAGGAGGAGGTCAGAGGAGGAGGAGGGCAGAGGAGGAGGAGGTCAGAGGAGGAGGAGGGCAGAGGAGGAGGAGGTCAGAGGAGGAGGAGGGCAGAGGAGGAGGAGGAGGTCAGAGGAGGAGGAGGTCAGAGGAGGAGGAGGGCAGAGGAGGAGGAGGGCAGAGGAGGAGGAGGGCAGAGGAGGAGGAGGTCAGAGGAGGAGGAGGTCAGAGGAGGAGGAGGGCAGAGGAGGAGGAGGGCAGAGGAGGAGGAGGAGGTCAGAGGAGGAGGAGGTCAGAGGAGGAGGAGGAGGGCAGAGGAGGAGGAGGAGGTCAGAGGAGGAGGAGGAGGAGGAGGGCAGAGGAGGAGGAGGAGGTCAGAGGAGGAGGTCAGAGGAGGAGGTCAGAGGAGGAGGAGGAGGTCAGAGGAGGAGGAGGTCAGAGGAGGAGGAGGAGGGCAGAGGAGGAGGAGGAGGTCAGAGGAGGAGGAGGAGGTCAGAGGAGGAGGAGGTCAGAGGAGGAGGAGGAGGGCAGAGGAGGAGGAGGGCAGAGGAGGAGGAGGTCAGAGGAGGAGGAGGAGGGCAGAGGAGGAGGAGGTCAGTCCAGAGAATGAATACAGATGATGCAAAAGCCCTGGGGTTCAGTAACTGTGTCTGACCTTTGAACCTGGGGTTCAGTAACTGTGTCTGACCTTTGAACCTGGGGTTCAGTAACTGTGTCTGACCTTTGAACCTGGGGTTCAGTAACTGTGTCTGACCTTTGAACCTGGGGTTCAGTAACTGTGTCTGACCTTTCAGAGCTTAAAGAATTTGTGGTTTATATTTTCATATTGTCTCTGATGTTGTCGTCCTAAATCCAGAAATGAGCCATATAAGGATTGACCAATCAGATGCCTTCATTCTGCCTTCAAATCGATCTTTCCTTAGCAACACATCTGCCCATGTTACACCGTGAAGCTAACACTATCGGAACAAATGCCCAAATAGAGGAAATTGGCTACAGCTAGCTTATGTTATCTTATGCTAACAGTTCTTAGTGCACACTTTTACGTCTATTAGCACATTGCCCATAATGCTTTGCGCCTTGGGAGTAGCGGCCTGTAGACAGTAGATTCAGCGCTGCTATGTCCCCTTTAAATCCACCATGAGCTCTGTGACTGTGTAAAGTGCCGGTGCTTGGACGGCACCTGTGCAGTTCTTCTGGCTGTGGTAGACGTTGACTTTCTGCAGGTCGATGGTGGGGGACACAGGGTAGAACGTGTCCAGGACGTGGTCTCTGGTCTGGTCCACCTCCTGCAGCGAGGCCTGGACTGGGACTGGGTCCATGCTGGTGCAGAGGAGACCGTTTACGCCCCGGATCTGGAACAGGTCGTCTCCTGCAGACACATCACAGATTACAGGATTATAGATTATTAGATTGAGCGATAAATTGACACAAATAATCCATATTAAGTGAATGTTTACATTAATTGATACTAATGACACTGGTAAAAAGAGGAGGCATAATAAGCATTAGCTTCAGCCGACACATTTTAAGTCTTTTTTATCTCTAACAATGAGTATAAATGTAAAAAAAGAAGAAAATTCAATTCAATGCCTTTTGTACAGCCCTCAATCACAGACAACAACAGATTAGAGAATCAAACAGTAACAAAGTAGTACCAACCACATGTGAGGGTCCTACCTCTGGTCCACGTTGCTGCCAGAGAGTATTTCTCTGAGAAGAGTCTCCGTCCGAGCGCAGGGACCGAGGTCTGCAGACTCCCACAGAGGTGCAGCAGGTTCTGCAGCAGGATCTTACTGCAACCAACACACAACAGTTTGTATCATCAGAATACTGCTGAATCAGAATACTGCTGAATTAGATACTGCTGAATCAGAATACTGCTGAATCAGAATACTGCTGAATTAGATACTGCTGAATCAGAATACTGCTGAATTAGATACTGCTGAATCAGAATACTGCTGAATCAGAATACTGCTGAATCAGAATACTGCTGAATTAGATACTGCTGAATCAGAATACTGCTGAATCAGAATACTGCTGAATCAGAATACTGCTGAATCAGAATACTGCTGAATCAGAATACTGCTGAATTAGATACTGCTGAATCAGAATACTGCTGAATCAGAATACTGCTGAATTAGATACTGCTGAATCAGAATACTGCTGAATCAGAATACTGCTGAATCAGAATACTGCTGAATCAGAAAACTGCTGAATCAGAATACTGCTGAATCAGAAAACTGCTGAATCAGAATACTGCTGAATTAGATACTGCTGAATCAGATACTGCTGAATCAGAATACTGCTGAATTAGATACTGCTGAATCAGAATACTGCTGAATCAGAATACTGCTGAATCAGAAAACTGCTGAATCAGAATACTGCTGAATTAGATACTGCTGAATCAGAAGTAGTAAGTAAGTAAGTAATCTTTATTTATATACCGCCTTTTCACTGCAGATCTGAGTCTCAAAGCGGTTTACAATTGTTAATTTTTGGGCATTTGTCTCTCACTCCACACAGAGATGGGAGCGGGGCCAGTACAGGAGGCGCATGCCAGAACTATTGGACATATTTTTAGTGGTAGGGGAAACCGGAGTACCCGGAGGAAACCTACGCAGACACGGGGAGAACATGCAAACTCCACTCAGAAAGGCCCTGGTTCGACTGGGATTCGAACCCAGGACCTTCTTGCTGAGAGGCGAGAGTGCTATCCACTCAGCCACCGTGCCGCCCGCAGAATACTGCTGAATCAGAATACTGCTGAATTAGATACTGCTGAATCAGAATACTGCTGAATCAGAAAACTGCTGAATCAGAATACTGCTGAATCAGAATACTGCTGAATCAGAATACTGCTGAATCAGAATACTGCTGAATCAGAATACTGCTGAATCAGAATACTGCTGAATCAGAATACTGCTGAATCAGAATACTGCTGAATCAGAATACTGCTGAATCAGAATACTGCTGAATTAGATACTGCTGAATCAGAATACTGCTGAATCAGAATACTGCTGAATTAGATACTGCTGAATCAGAATACTGCTGAATCAGAATACTGCTGAATCAGAATACTGCTGAATTAGAATACTGCTGAATCAGAATACTGCTGAATCAGAATACTGCTGAATCAGAATACTGCTGAATCAGAATACTGCTGAATTAGATACTGCTGAATCAGAATACTGCTGAATTAGATACTGCTGAATCAGAATACTGCTGAATCAGAATACTGCTGAATTAGATACTGCTGAATCAGAATACTGCTGAATCAGAATACTGCTGAATCAGAATACTGCTGAATCAGAATACTGCTGAATTAGAATACTGCTGAATCAGAATACTGCTGAATCAGAATACTGCTGAATCAGAATACTGCTGAATCAGAATACTGCTGAATCAGAATACTGCTGAATCAGAATACTGCTGAATCAGAAAACTGCTGAATCAGAAAACTGCTGAATCAGAATACTGCTGAATCAGAATACTGCTGAATCAGAATACTGCTGAATCAGAATACTGCTGAATCAGAAAACTGCTGAATTAGATACTGCTGAATCAGAATACTGCTGAATCAGAATACTGCTGAATCAGAATACTGCTGAATCAGAATACTGCTGAATCAGAAAACTGCTGAATTAGATACTGCTGAATCAGAATACTGCTGAATCAGAATACTGCTGAATCAGAATACTGCTGAATCAGAAAACTGCTGAATCAGAATACTGCTGAATCAGAATACTGCTGAATCAGAATACTGCTGAATTAGAATACTGCTGAATCAGAATACTGCTGAATTAGAATACTGCTGAATCAGAATACTGCTGAATTCGGGCGTTCTGCTCTCCCAAAATTCCATCCACTGAGCGGCGCTGTGATCAAAAAATGACACCGTTTGTTGCCCAGTTCACTTCCGGTTGATTTCATACAATGGCGAATATGGCTCACGAAAACAACAAACGATTGACAGAATTGCGTGAAAGGTTGAAGCGAAAGGGTATTTGCAGTGTGGGAAAACGAAAGGAGGAATTGTTGTTGCTAGTTCAACGAGCGGATGGTGTTTATGAAGATTTAGAAGAAGATGACAGCGAGCAGAGTGAACGAAAACGGCTGTGTGTGCGAGTGACAGATGGTAACAATGAGAATGAAGTTCAGCTAAGAGGGAAGAATGTGAATTGGACGGATGATTTGCGCGATATGCCACTAGTTAGAGACGGGAATGTATTTGCATACTGTTGTATTTATAAATACGTGACATTCTAAAACCATGTGTTTTATGACCTAGCTAACCTCTAAGTGGGAGGCCAGTCCTTCTTATTTTATTTTAGGTGTCTTCTTGTGCCAGCAACTGGACAACAGATTCTCCTGTTTGGATTTCAACCCCCTAGTCTTGGCCTGCTGACTTCTGCACTTTTCAACCTCACTCCATCAGGAGTCTGGCAGACGGAGGAAAAGGCTGGACCCTAGACCGGAAGCTGGCTGATAGGACACTCCCCTCCTTCCTGTTCTTTATATATGCTCTGGCTTGGGGAGAAACAGAAGGATCAGCCGAGGGCCAGGAGAGGGACATATTAGTTTTAGGAGCACTCTTTTGTTGATTTCTGTATCTGATTGTAAAGATAATTAAATGCAGATGTTAACCTTTGAGAATCTTTTTGTCTGATTTCTGTATCAAATTGTGGACACGTCAGCCAAAAGGAATTATTGGCTTCATTTGGTGACCCGAGACGTGATTTGATGCAGAAAGAAGACGCAAGATGAGCTCAGTTATAGAGACTGGATTTGTGGGTTTGGAAAAATCTCTCTGCTCTTCAAAAAGGTCGCTTCTAAGGTAAGCGGATCACAGTTTTGAAAATCTGCACATTGTTTTAAATAGAAGAGAGAGAGATTTTGGCTCGACAGATTGCAGTGTGGACAAGACCGCCGTGATGGGCGTTCTATCGGACGCGATAGAACAATAGTCAGGTTTTTCGACGTTTTTGAACCTTGAGGGATGTTGGTCTCGCTCTAAAAAAAGAATATACAGGATGAGAGGTCCACAGAGTTTATAAGTGCAGAAGAGGCACACCGTTTAGAGTGCAAAAGAAGCACACCGTTTTAAAGTGCAAAAGAGGCACAAGTGTTTAGAGAAATAGGATTAGAAAATAGGGACAGTTAGGGTCAGAAGTGATAGGATAATAAAACCTTCTATATCCCCCGGGGGCGAAAAACAAAAGGGTACAATTAATTTAAACAGGAAAAAAGCCAAGTGGATTAAAATGTGGATTCTGATAATAATGATCTGATTAATGAGAAAAAAAGAGAGCCTCTTGGCTGTAGTATACGAGTTTCATGTGAAGAAATGATCAGTTATGGAAGTTTCTCTTATCCTGATGTAATGTTTAATAGTTAGAGAATCAAAAAAAAAAAAAAAAAAAAAGATTCTGCTGGGACTATTAATCATGTAGCAAATAGTAATGTTTTCCATTACTGACGTATTTAAGGATAAAATGTAAAGTGTCGTTTGACGTGAGAAAAACTTTTACCAATGATTTAAAACCTTGTCACGAGAATCTCTCTCTCTCTCTCTCTCTAAAGAGGCATTATTTTATTTTTTATCTCCAAACGTCTGGACAAGTTTTTTCCCTACATTTTGGTGATATAAAAGTTAGAATGATCTTAGAGAGCATTATGCTTTTGGAAAAATAGGGCTCAGGAGAGCAGTTGAATGCAGAATTGGTTTTCAGAATTTAATGTTTAAAATGTTAATATTAATTATTTCATAGGTTTATTTTGAATTGTAATTAATCATTGGTTTCGTATGGTAATTAACACACTTGTTTGTGCTTCTTGTTTGTCTGTTTTTTCCGAGAAAACTTCTGTCTGTTTCATTTGGCCAAAAATCGTCTCTGCCACAAACCACAATCGGGCGCCATCAGCACGGACCATCAGCGTCTCCCCCAGACCCACAGGGGGCACCAAAGACAGCAGCATCGGCTGCAGCAGCTAACAGGAACTCTCGAAGAAGACCTCTCCGGCCTCCATTTCATGGAGAAAAACCAGACTTTTGCACAAACCGAGTGGAGTTATGTGCACGGAGAAGAACGTTGTGTAAACCTAACAAGAAGAAGAAGGACACACACTGGTGTGCGTCAAAAAAATGATTGAAAAGAAAGACATGAGAAAAGTTGTCGAAAGAAATAATTGAAAAGAAAAAGACATTGCAAGGAGAAGAAAGTGATTGAAAGAAGAAGAAAGAAAGTGATTATTGAAAGAAGAAGAAAGAAAGTGATTGTTTAAAGAAGAAGAAAAAAGGCATTGAGGCAAAGACATTGGACACTTTGAGACAAAAGACATTGAAAGACGCCATGAGTAAAAGAAAGACATTAACGGACATTTGAGACGTGGCTGGCCTAAATGAGACACACAGAAGGTAAATATACAGACAGGCAACAAACGCACAGAGACATATTAAGTCATATTTACACATTTAGCTAGGTCATTCGTTCATAACACCACATTTAGCTGCATGAAAAGAATACAGGACATTCGTTAAAATTAATTCGACTCTTTAGCATGAGACACAAGGAGATTAGAACAGCAGTATATTTAAAGTAGAGGAGCTCTATTATTGAAACTAGTATTATTATTTAAAGTTATAGACGCGGAGAAGTTTAGAATTATTGATTTTGACTGCATGATCTTGGTAATACGGATATTTAACGCAGTGTTTTCAACCTTTGAACCGTGGCTCGTTTCTCATTTAAAAACAGTCACATGCACAGTTGAAACTGGTGCTAGAAAGAGAACT